TTCTTTTACGGTTACAGCCTTACCGGCAACTCTCAGTGCAACGCCGGTCATCTCACAAGCTCAGCCTTCGATATTATGGGCCCTTCACTGTGGTGGAACGTATTGGTCTGGTGGCTTACCGGCTAGATCTTCCCACTACTTCGCGCATCCTCCCCGTGTTTCATGTCGCATTACTTCGGCCATTTCACTGTCAACACACTCCTCAGCTACACCAGCTTCCTTATTCTCTGGCGGACCTTTCCCCGCTTCACAAACCGAAGGCCGTGGTCGCTACTCGCACCATTTGGTGAAACAGCACTCAAGTTCCACAACTACTGATACAGTGGGACGGGTTATCTCCGGACGAGTCGACCTGGGAAGATGAAATAGAAGTAAGAGAAAACCCTTTCCTTTTCCCAGAAATCCCACCTCGGACCCAAAGTTCGGATCTTTCCTCACCCACACCACCACCCATGCCTCCCCACGACTTGAAAGACCTCACCTTGACCGATCCATTTAAGGGAGCTTCGAGCTCTTCAGAGCTTTCTGGGACTGCCACGCCTATGGCAGATGTCCTACCGCCTAATCCCCTCAGCTCTCAATCTCCACCCCTTTCACTCTCAGCTGTCCAGATCGATCTCACTTCACCTGCTCCACCAGCTGTCCCTAATTACCCCACCGACAAGGCTGGCTCACGTGCCACTCACCTCGTGAACGTGGTGGTCTCTCAACAAAAGGGGGATGTTACCACCCAGCCCGTTGTTAGGCCCAGAAGAGTTACCAAGAAGCCCAACTACTTGGACCAGTATACTTGTTGAAGAGAAATGGCTTAAGCCCTTTTAATTTCAAGCCTGTAGTAAATTGATCTTAGTCTATGAGTTGTAATAAAGTGTGTACTCGGGGGATTATAACCCTGAGTCAGTTATGATTTGTTATGGATTATTAAACACGAGGAATAGCAAGGAAAAAGGTAAGAAAAGTTTGACAAATCTTCTTCTCCCTTCTCAATTTCCCTCTCTTTTCTCACTCTCTCTACCTTCTTTCTAAAACTCCTGAATTGCTCTAACAGGAACAGAGAACACTGATCAGTTCTGGTAAGGTAATATTCATACACTATTAGAAAATGCTTTTTTTTCGACGGAAAAATTCCGTCGAAAATGACGTTTTCGACGGAATTTTCGACCGAAAATGAAGCCGTCGAATATGTCTTCGTGGGTAACAATTTTTTCGACGGAATTAAAGATTCCGTCAAAAAATTTCGACGGAATAAATTCTGTGGAAAATTTCGACAGAAAAATAGGTCCGTCGGAAAATCTTGTAATAATTTTCGACTGAAAACAAACTCCGTCAAAAAATTTCGACGAAAAATGAATGAAATTCCGTAAAAAAATCTTTTAATGATTTTCGACGGAAATTAAAATTCCGTCTAAATTTTTTGACGGAAAATGAATGAAATTCTGTCGAAGAATCTTTTAATAATTTTCGACAAAACAAATTCCGTCGAAATTTTCAACGGAGAATGAATAAAATTCCGTCGAAAAATCTTGTAATAATTTTCGACGAAAAAAAAATTCCATAAAAAAATTTTGACGGAAAATGAATGAAATTCCGTCGAAAAATCTTGTAATGATTTTCGACAGAAAACAAATTCTGTAAAAAAAATTTGACGGAAAATGAATGAAATTCCGTCGAAAATCTTGTAATGATTTTCGACAGAAAACAAATTCCGTCAAAAAATTTTGACGAAAAATTAATAAAATTCCGTCGAAAGCTATTGTCTCAATTGTCGACGAAATTGCTTTTAAGGCTGATTTTTTTTTTTTAATTTCTCTCAACAAAATTAATATCAATTTATGTTTTGCACCTGATAAACAAATATAATGAAAGTGAATAACATATCAAAATGATATGATCTTAATATAATTAGGGATGGCAAAAATGAGCCAACCCGTCGGGTTGGCTCGTAACCCGCACAAAACGAGCCGGGTTGGGTTGGCAAAAATAAGCTGCCAGCTCGATTTAGCCCGACCCGAGCTCAAACGAGCCAGCTCGCGGGTTGACAAGCCAGCTCGCGGTTTACTCTTTTTTTTTTTTTTTTTTAATACAATGGACTTTACTGATGGATTCTCCACTGATGGACTTCTTTTATTTTTTATTTTTTGGCTTTACATACGTTTTATGGTTATCGTGAGTTAGAGTAATTCAAAAAATCATGATAAATGACTCTTGTGATTCGTGGAGTGGTTTGTGTTTCATTTAATGTTTTTGGATTTTGTAAACTACTCTACTTGTAGTTGAACTGCACAATACAATAATTTTATACAGGAAAACAAACCACAAAAATTAAATTTTTTGAGCCAACCCGCTAGCCAATATTTTGAGCTAACCAACCCGCGAGCCAACCCACTAGCATCATTTCGAGCTAACTCGCGAGCTTTTTTTGAGCCAACCCGTGAGCTTTTTTACGAGCCAACCCGCGAGCTGATTATCAAGCCAACCCGCGAGCCAACCCTAACCCGGCTCGGGTCGAGCCGGGTTGGATTTTCTGGCTCGTTTTTTTTTCGAGTCAACCCGACCCGACCCATTTTTTCGGGCTGAATGCGGGTTGGGCCGGGTCGAGCCGGGTTGGCCCGTTTTGCCAACCCTAAATATAATTATGTGTACAAAATTTCCCGTCATATACTACTCAAAAGAGTCTTATATGTATAAATATGAAAGACATATATTAATCAAAAGGGACATACATATACAAAAATCCCTTTCATATACTAATCAAAAGAGTCTATGTACAATAGTTCATATCACCGGTCTCAGCTTGATCAATTTCTTCATCTTCGATATTGATCAAGTCTTTGTCATCTTTGTCGTCATGATCATCTGCACTTGTGGTGTCTGGATGTTTCTTCATCTTCGATATTGATTAAGTCTTTGTCATCTTTGTCGTCATGATCATCTGCACTTGTGGTGTCTGGATGTCTTGCAGGTTTTAAATTTTTCTTAATGACCCGCAACATCCGCATCAGTCCATCATCAGTGATAACATCACAAAAATATTTAAATACCTATATATAGAGATAAGTGTTAGATAAATAGAAACTAAAAGACAGTACATAAGCCATGATATTTATATTTAGGTCAAGTTTTAAATTATGAGTCCACCCAGAGATGACTAAGTTTTCTCAAGGGTCATTTCAACTAAATACTTCAACATCTCCAACCAAAGCTGTATACCATATCATTTATAGCTCAACCAATTTCTAACAAATCTATCTCATATCACAACCAGGTAACTCACACAATACATCAATTAAATTGGATAGCTTATTCAAACTCCACTCCTGAGGTCCAGGGGCTTCAATAACATGATTCAGCAATACTGGAACAGGCAACTACAAAAAAAAAAAAACAATAATAATAATAGGATTGAAATAATAATAATAATAATAATAATAATAATAATAATAATAATAAATATAGTTTTACATGATAGGTTAAACATATTACCTGAAGCAATATGAAGTGAGTCTCAAAGTCACCAGAGAACTGGTGAGAACCATGGAATATAAAAAGTCAAACAAAACATTGTTTAACAATGTATTTGTATATTTATTTATTACAATGCATTTTGCTGCTACGACATTGTAATATAAAAAAGTTCTTTAGTCTATTGACACCATGTAGAGATTAAGAATGACACAAGAAAATCACAACAGCTACGACAGATATGTTATGCTTTATGAACAAGTGAGTCAAACAAAACATTGTTTAACAATGTATTTGTATATTTATTTATTACAATGCATTTTGCTGCTACGACATTGTAATATAAAAAAGTTCTTTAGTCTATTGACACCATGTAGAGATTAAGAATGACACAAGAAAATCACAACAGCTACGACAGATATGTTATGCTTTATGAACAAGTGAGTTGAAAAGCTACTGCTGAATAAATAGTAAATACAAAGCAGAGGAAGAAAGAACGCTTAAAAACTAGGTAGTCATCAATTTAAGACCTTGACATCAACACCAGGTTGTAGTACTCCTGCAAAATCAAAGCATATCCGAATCAAAATAATGTAAGGTTATAAAGCAAAGTCATAACATAAGCACAGGAGAGGAAACAACAATATAATTATCAAGATCCCTTTTGGGTAAGGGTTATCCCAAGTTCCTGAGGTCAATCAAATTTGTCTTCAGCCTCATTAATAAATTAGGCTCTTAGGCCACGTCTCAAGATAGCAAAGGAAACATAATAATTTGGCAGAAGCACTATCATGTGTTCTTTCTTTTCCTACTACAGCATGCACTTAACTTCCATTAATAATTTGGCTGTTAAAATATCAAAGAATGATGCAATGCCGTCATAAATGCATTGCTATCATAAATTCCATGCTAAAAGTTGTACATACTACAATAGATGGACTTAAGGGGAGGGGGCTGCATTTTCTATAGGTTTACAGGTTGCATGATTGCACCTACTAATCAAAGTGAGGATGCAAGGGCAGTTTCATCTCTATAGATATTTCTATATTTATGAGTGTAAGGCAGGGAATTATAATATCAAAATAGAACTATATCATGTTCAAGTCACAAATACAAATGAAAGACGGCTAAAAATATCCAAAGAAGTTCACCTCAGAGTTAAATTAGCTTCATATGAGAAGAACAGACCAGAGGTTTTCTCAGCAACATTTAGCAGCTCTTAAAATTCCATCTCAGTCTTCTGCCAAATATCAAAGGAACTAATGTATAACATAAAGTTAGCATTCTCTACGAAAGTGATGACAAAATAACGCTACCATCTTTTTTAACCACAACTATATATACCTGTCAAGTTCATTAACTAACAACAATACATCTTTTGTAACATCCTGTCACTGGAATACTGTTCTAATTATTTATTCAATCCATCCACCTTTAAGATGTGTAAAAAGAAATTGTATAAGCTAGATGGATGGAATTACCTCATGATGAAGGAAGGACTTGGCCCTTCTATTGAAGGGGTGTCACACTGTCTTCGGACACCACAATATTCAACAGATGCAGTTAAATAAGCTAAAAGGAGAATGGGAGAAAAGTGCTTTTGTAATCAAGGAAAATAAAGGGCCAGACGTCAACTTGAGCTATAGAAATCAGTACTCACATAAAGGGAAGGAAGACGAATGATAATCTTCCTAATTATTCAAACAGATCCAGGACATGTGAAACTGCTCAACAGAAGGAGATCAATAGCATAATGGATGGATATTCGAGTAAATTCAAAATGCTTTTAAAAGTTGACCAAGAGTTCAAACTACCAATTTATTTCTAGGAAAATAAAATGAACATTTGATGTATCTAGAACACCCACCCCCCAAAAAACTAATCTTTCTGGAAATCATATATTTTTATAGAATTCTGAGAAGAAACCAGACTCCATGAAGCATGAACAAATATTTTAAGATCAGCAGGTTGATCATAACTCACATGCAATCTTTATATACATGAATGGCAGAGATTTAAATTCCAACCTTGAACTTGCTTTTGTCTGATGATTGCACTCGACAAACAAACCCAGCTCGTGCTTCCTCTTCTGTTATTGTAACTGAATAGAAGTGTGCACATTGCTTCTCAACCTGTCAGATGAAGGTACCAAAAAAATAAACAAAAGAAAAATGTGACTAAATAGGGATCAATGAATTAAAAATAGAAGCAGCTCACCTTTTTAGATATAAACTGCCCCAATGGAAGTGGACGAATGGTAACTAAACCATTGAGTGCCTCTTCCAAAACAGTAGCAGATACAGTTGTCTTGATTGGCACACCAAGTTTACTGTCATGTATGGGGAAAGTTGATCATGAAAAGGAGGGAAAACTAGAGAACCGACAGGAAGAACTCAAAACAAAAGGAAACATGTAGCTATGTTTAAGCACTCAACAAGAGAAAAGGGGTTAAAAAGTCAATTCAAAGAGAAGCATATTCAGCCTTCTTACCTAAAAAGTGCTGCAAACATCGTATTGACAGCAGCCAAACTTGAAAGATCCAACTCCAACTCTTGGCTATCTGATTCAACAGCCTACACATAAACATGAAATATTTCACCACTCGGGTTTAACAGGGAGTTTTTTGTTTTTGTTTTAATGATCCATGCGAAGAGATTCAAGATAAAATTTTATTTTAGAAAAAAAGAAGTTTGGGAAAAAAAATGGTACAAAAATTGGAATCAGTAAAAAGCAACGGAAAATGTAAACCTGGAGGATTGATAATGGTTCATAATATTAAAACAACTTATATCACCTCAAAGCCAGCTGAGTCGTACTGACGCCTTTTCTTAAGGTCTGACAAAATATTATAAGGAAAGGTAACCTCTTTAAACATATCGGCAGCTTTAGGATCGTTAGCATTCTTGTCAGGATGATATCTGAAATGGAATAGGTTTAGCCAATTAATAAATTAAGTAATTAACCAACTCTATTCATATGAAAAGAAGACAGGAAGAACAGTCAATTAGAGTAAACAGGTGCCCCTGAAGGAGCATTACTTTATTTCAGTAAAACTCCATGAAGTTTTGAAGTTTTATTTTAAACTGTTAAGTGCTCATATCAGATGCATGAAACCAATCTAACAACATGAGCAGAGCCTTCATTCCAACATTATCTTTGGAAGGTTATTGGGGCCTATCTGGATGATCAATCAGTATGTGTGAGAAATTAAAACAAACAGGTGCTCTGGGTAAAATCAAACGAGGGTAAAAATGAATGTTTTCCAATGTAATAGTCTTATGATTGTTAACAGCCTCTTCTCTTTTTCTTTTTCCAAATTAATATGACCTATATCATCTTAATTTGATTCTAGGACCAAAAATGTTTTAGCACAAAATAAAACAACCTTCTATGCAGCTTCTTAGTTCCTCCACCTATACGAGAATTTTATATTCAAAGGCCACTAGGCCAGATATCATTTAATAGTTAGCATTATCCTTATCTATTTTAGGTTAAGTATAATATCATCATTAAGTACTTCTCCGAACGCCCAGCCACAATATAGTAGTTACGAAGACTACTTCCATCAATCATCTATATTAAAATATAGTATAATTTGGAACCCATCTGGTTGGTTAAACTTTTGATTGAATTTGGCTCAAAAATCTCGGCAACACCTACCAACCGAACGTAGAGAGAGAGAGAGAGAGAGAAGGGCATTCTTACAGATCTAACGGTTCCGATGAAGCAGAGCGAGAGCAGAAAGATGAGAGAGAGAAACACTGTTGTGGTTGCCATTTGCATCAAACTGGGAGTGTGGGAAGGTCAGTACCATAGGGCATTGAGAGAATCAGATAGGAAGAAGATGATGAATGAGAATATGAAGGAGGAAGCAAGGGTGGATAGCTTAGAAAAAAGCGGGATCTAAGATTGTAAAAAATTAGTAGAGAGGGAAACATTTGGGATAAGAAGGCAACGTAAAAAGAGTGTACTGTACCCAATAGAAACGCACACTTCAAGAAGAGAGGAAAAATAGGAGTGAATTAAGCTACTCTTTTTAAAATTTAAATAAATAACACACAGAAAATATCAATAGGTCTAAATCGTTTTAATAGGAAAAGAAAAGGGATTTTTTTTAAAAAAGGTAGAAATTGTTTGCTTTAATTAATTCCTCATAACATATGAGATTAGCAATGCCTGTAAATCTCATCGTGTCAATAACCAATCTATATAGGCGTGAATTAATTCAACAAAGAAATTACTAAATTATCTAACTAATCCTTTTGTGGGGTTTAAATGTCTAATGAAATTTTCTGAATAATTTCCTCTTTCTCTATCTGTCTAATGAAATGTGTCTTAGCAGGCTTCTAGGTGTTTCAAATGAGAGATTCATAGACAAACAAAAAAAGGCCTAAGACTTGTAATTCAAAGCTTGTGGTTTTGAAGAAAGACATATATTGTTTAAAGACAGGACCTAAAGGTACTTATTAAACCAGTGTTATTAAACCCAAACCGACCTGGCCGGGTCGACCCGTGAATCGATAAACCGATCATATAACCGGTCCGGTTCAAGCAACGGACCGGCCATGCATTAGAGTTATGTTGTAGGAAAAGTGATTGTGTAATGCGATAGAGATTCGTTTTGTGTGCTTTATTTTTTTTTATTTTTTTTGCTTTAAAAAGTGTGAACACCACAAAATATTGTGTGTGTAGGAAAGTTTTTCTTGTCATGTTAAATGACAAACTAAAACCGCATATATATATATATATATATATATATATATATATATATATATATATATGGAAAGACCAACAAAAAATTGGAGAGAGAAAAAATAGAGGTGGAATCCACCTTTGTTATGTGTGTATAGAAATTTGGTTTATCTCATGTTGAATGACATAAATATAATCCCTATATATATATATATATATATATATATGGAAAATGGTTTGTAAAGTGACTGCACCTAAAGATTGGTGTAGTTCACTATGTACTCTTGGAAGTACATAGTTATAATCAATATTATAATTGTGTACTCCCGAAAGTATACCAAAGTACACTGTTTTACATAGTTGACTGCATCAATCCTTAAGTGCAGTCACTGACTGTACATCCGCTAAACTCATATATATATATATATATATATATATATATATATATTGGATTTTGTATTTAAATTTCATAGGTTATGAATAAGAAGTGAGTTGAAAAAAAAAAGACAAAAAGGGGTGTATAGGTAGAAGTCTCACATTGGATAAATAGTAAGAATTGGAAAGGTTCATAAACCTCCACCTCACCTGTTTGTTTGCCCCTCAGGGGCACTCAATTTTTGTAAAGGAGAGAAGACATAGGTGGCCTTGGTACGCCACGTACTTCGTTGCCCGTCCGACTCGAATCGGTCACGCGTGTCACCGTGTGTGTACGAGAAATAAAAATAATTTTTTATTAAATTAATTTTTTTTTTTTCAAAATGCCCCTGTCCTATATGTTGATTCCCGCTTATTTTGAACCAAACCAATTCTTTCTTTTCGCTTTCGATTTAGAACTGAAATGATGCGTTCGGTTAATTTTGAACGTCACCAGTCGTAATGGTTCTTCGCCGTCAATCCCAACAGTTGGCCGACGGCAATGGATGCCCTATCGGTGTCTATATATAGATATTCACACTATAAAAAATAGCATTCAGAATTTTTGCATCGTTACTCTGCCAAATTTTCATGCCTTATTAAATTTTCAGCTTAAATTTCATAACAGAAAATATTTGATTTATAAATTAATTTTTCATGTTTAGTTAAAAAGATAAAATAAAATAAAATTTGGATACAAAAATGTGTCGGAAAAAGTTGTCTGCTTGTCAGAAATGTGTCGAAAAATGTTGACTGCATGTCGGAACGTTGATCGTGTGTCAAAAAATATTGACCGCGTGTCGTTGTTCGACATGCATTTTTTCAAATAGCGTGTCCGTGCATCAGAGTCCACACCACAGTATTAGATAATATGATTTCTCAAGCCTTCAATTGTGTTTGTTTGGACTCTCGATTGATAGTGCTATCATTCCAGAGACACGCAATCCGTTCTATCCTAGGAAACAATTATTCATCAACTTTCGGCATCAATAAACGAAATAAATTGTCTTAAGAAGACAACATAGTTGAGCTCGGATTCTCCGCATACTAGCATCCTTTCCAACATTCTGTGAGTTTGTTCTTATAATTTTTAGAGTAAAGACCCAAATTGGTTCATGACAAAAAACTCGGTGCCCAAATTAGTCTCTCACAAAAATAAACTCGTTAGATAGTCCCCAACAAAGTGAAACAGGACCCACGTTAGTCCTTCTGTCAATCCAAAACTGACGGTGTCAATGACGGTGATAATGTGTCACGTTAAGTGACATGCTGGAGGCCACGTGGGTTGAGGAACGACGTCGTTTTGAGAGACTCATCCACGTTGGTCAGTATGGTCCCTAACAGTTTTAACAAAGGGGACCAGTATGGTCCCTAACATTTTTATCGGGGTCCTTTTTAGTCCCTGCTAAAGTTTTGTTAACACCAGTGCCACCATTTGCTATTAACACACCAACAATGTCATTTCCTCTTGTACATGTGATATTAGTCATGCATAACACAATCAACTTCTGCATAATTCACACCATGACATTCTTAGTTTAGTCTTTATACATTGTTCCCATTCCTTTTTTTATCTCCATCGAGTTTATACAACATTTTGTGCCAATAAACATAACTTCAAATACATCAGCCATGCTACATACATTGCATTAACAACAATTCATTACACCAGCGAATCTCAACAAAACCATGGAGATAAAAAAGAACAATAAGTTATGGTCTATATAATGTTAATTATCGTTGAGAAATGAACTACTTTCTAGGGAAGGGAAGGGAACTCTCTGGAATTCCAAATTTAGTGTTTTGGCGCTCTATATAATGTTGTCTCGCAATTCATCATTCATCATTAATCATTAATCATTGGTACGTCTTGTTAGTTATTTGTTTTGTCTCCAAATTTGTATGTTGTGAGCGTGTTGGGGCAGTTAAGAAGCCAGCGACAATGGTGGCCGACATGGGAATGTCAATGATGGCGGGAAACTCTGGTTACTTGGAGATGCATCCCGAAAGGAAAATCTCCTTTTTCCAGAACTCTTACATCGTCGGTATCACTTTTGCCGCCGGCATTGGTGGTCTTCTCTTCGGCTATGATACTGGTACTACCTAACCATCATTTCAATTTCTCTAATTTGAAATGCCATTAATTTGTGGTTGGTACGTTGTAAAATTCTCAGCTCATGTATATATATATGGTTCCATAAATGCAGGTGTGGTGTCAAGGGCCCTTCTGTATATTAAAGAGGATTTTGAAATCGTCAAGAATAGTAGCTTCCTTCAGGTAACTATAGATCAGTTGCATGTTTTGGTTTGGCTAATAATTGTTTAACAGTTGCTGATATATATATGCATGAATGGGAGCTAGCAGGATTCTAATGCTAATACCTTTACTTACATTTGCATTGCAGGAATTAATTGTTGGCATGGCCTTGATTGGTGCAATTTTCGGTGCAGCCATTGGTGGTTGGATTAATGATTCTCTGGGACACAAGACCGCCGTGGAGTATAAAGACTAAACTCGATGGACATAAAAAAAGGAATGAGAACAATGTATAAAGACTAAACTAAGAATGTCTTGGTGTGAATTATGCAGAAGTTGATTGTGTTATGCATGACTAATATCGGCATGTACGAGGGGAAATGACATTGCTGGTGTGTTAATAGCAAATGTTGGCACTGGTGTTAACAAAACTTTAGCAGGGACCAAAAAAGACCCCGATAAAAATGTTAGGGATCTTACTGGTCCCCTTTGTTAAAACTGTTAGGGACCATACTGACCAATGTAACACCCCGTATATATCCGGTAATGTTATCATGTTATTGTATTAAGCTGCGCTTAATTAAAATTGCAGAATATCTTTTTCTTTTCAATTATGATGTCACTAACCATTACCAACTTGATTACTTAACCATTTTCAAAACATCGCCTGTATGTATATTGCAATAAACAGCTAACTGAAATACCTCATTAATTAAATAACATAAGTATGAGTCTCTAGTCACGGAACTACAAAACGTAGACCGGACCATCTAACAGTTTATACAACTCCAACTAAGAGTACTAACCACAAAGTGGCATGGACAAACCCCATGCTCACCCAAATAAGGAAACAAAGCCCAACATCAGTCTCAACAACAGCAACATAAGCATATAAGTGCAGAAAACATAAACAACATCCAAATCCAGCATTCACACAGGTCAGCATAACTAACAGCAATAATCATCAACTAAGCTCTGGCCTCCTGCCGACAGAGACATCAGTCCCCATACTACCTGAACCTAAAATAAGCATTCCCCAAACGTGGGGTGAGATCTCTAAACAAGAAATCTCAGTAAAGCAAGGGGTCCTCAAGGATCTTCCACCTCAAGCTTACTTACATGTGCAATATAAGTTCAAAAGCAGTTTATCATCATCAGTTCTAAAATAGTGCAATGCAGCAGATAATCATGTCATGTGTGTCAATTCTATTCTACTGGCTAGAGAAATGCAGAATTTAAATACGTCTAATACCCACACATAGTGCAAGACGCCACTTGCATCCACCCCGGATCACCGTCTTGTATGACGCCACATACTCAGGCTTACCGTCAAGATGGAACATCACATGCATATTAAAAGCCATTACACATAAAGCTCAACAGCATTTCAAATATTCAAAGCATGTAACACAGCATGCATATAACCATACCCCCATGGGACATGGTGGAAACACAACATGGCTAAACCGAGGACACGAAAGCTTACCTTGTAAGCTAGCTATCCAAACAAAGAGTCCACACAGCTCAAGGCCCACAAACAGCACAATCACAATCTGCCCATACCATAATTACTCCGCAATAATCATAGCTCAGATTACATTAAGTGATTAAGTATTTCCTATTCATTTTAATTCATTACATGTTGTTTCTGCAGGAAGTATTCGAATACTTCACGAGTAGTATTCGAATACTCCAGCTCTCCAGAAAGTATTCGATTACTTTCATTAAAGTATTCGAATACTACCAAGTATCCGAATACTTTTCCCCCCAGTATCCGAATACCCAAGTATCTGAATACTCTCCAGTATTCGAATACTTCTTCAAAGGTATCCGAATACTTTTCTTCCCAGAAAAGTATTCCCATACTCCTGCCATGAGTATTCGACTACCAGATAAAAACTACCATTGAAAATCTTTACCAAATACTCTAATATTTTACTATGTTAAACTAGACATCTCAAGCTTCCCAACGACATATCTTATGCCTCAATCGGAGTTGTATAACTCTGGTTATGATTTTTGCAAAGTTCCTACAACAAGCTGAATTTCCAGCAATAGGGTCTCGATTTCAAACATACACTGAGAGAAATACACTTATCCAATGGATCTGAAAATTTACAGGTTTGTAGCCCTATGTGTTAGCTTCACATAGGTCTAAACCTCACACAATTTAGAGCTCTGAAGCTCGAGATATCGCAATTTTACTAAACTAGGTCGCTGCGGTCTCGCGAAGTATTCGATTACTGCCTTTTTCCAGGAAGTATTCGAATACTGCCCGAAAAGTATTCGAATACTTCTTCGACAGAATGCAGAAAACTAAGTTTTAAAGGTAAAATCGACCTCCAATGATCCAAACTCGATCTAGAGTCCAAGAACTCCTTAAACAGATGTTTATTAACATGTTATGAACCCAGAAACACCTTCCTTTTGTCAAATGGTTCAAGTTACGATTTTTAATTGCTTAAACAAGCTTAAAACATCAAAACACACAAGGGTGATCATGGTATACCTTCCAATGCACCAAAATTCCGAAAATGAGGTAACTTGGAAGAAAAGGACACTTGGCTCACAAGGTGCAAGGTGACTAGCAATGGAACAGTACCAAAGTGCTGATCAGCCTCCAAAGGTCACGTAGGAATAGAATAACCTAGGGTTTTGAGCCCAAAAGTCATATATATAGCTCACTTAACATCAAACACACAATATTAGCAAAAATAGCTACGCTTAGCATTTTAATCCCAAACTTTGGATTATTAACCTACTCAATTTTACAAGAATTATCATATTTTTATTATATTTTTTGGAGCACTTTTCCGGTACGCGCTTTTCATAGCCAATATCAGTTTCTGGCACCAGTTCTCATTATTTTAACTTGAAACTCGTTTACAAGTCCTATATATTATTCTAGGAATTATCATGCACTTATTATAATTTTTCGGGATACTTTTTCGGTACGCATTTATACCGACTAGCAGAACCGGTATCCGCGCTTTTCGTCCGAAAAGCGACTTTCAACATTATTACTCACTTACTATAATTATTAGAGCCACAAAATAATTATCATGGTCAATTATGGAATTATCTCATAATTATCTAATTAATTTCCTTAATTAGCAGTGCGGGTTCTTACATTCACCCTACCTTTTTAGGATTTTGTCCTCAAAATCAAAAAATATACTTGTCCCGAAGCGCGGGATACTGACGGAGAAGCTCGTCCTCTCGCTTCCAGAATTACCCTTCAAGAATTCTTCCCGTTCAACGTACTCTGACCATTGAAATGATCTCACTCCTCAGCTGCTTCTTGCCACGATCGAGAAACTTGAGTGGTTCGACGGGAGTTTTCAAGTTCTCCCGAACCTCCACAACATCCGGTTGCACCACGTGCGAAGGATCCACTACAAAGTTGTGAAGTTGAGACACTTAAAACACGTCGTGGGTGTTGGTCAAGTTCAGAGACAAGGCAAACCGGTGGGCAACAGGTCCTATTCTACCAAGGATCTGGTATGGCCCAATAAACCGCGGGCTCAGCTTCCTCACTCCGAGTGCCCGCCCAACACCGGTGACAGGTGAAAGTCTCACAAACATATGCTTATCCTCACTGAACTCCAGTGGACGATGCTTTACATCGTAGTAACTCTTCTGGCGATTCTGCGCCTGCTTCAGCTTTTTCCTGATCATCTGGATTTACAGGGTGGTATCTTAGACAAAGTCCAAGCCAAACAACTCACGATCCCCAACCTCTGACCAACAGGTAGGAGTCCGACACCTCCTACCATACAATGCCTCGTAGGGTGCCATGCCCAGGCTAGCAAAGAAAACACAGAAGCACAAAAACTCAACCAATGCCAGGTACCTATACCATGCTGGGCCCTGCTCCAAAGTGCAAGCCCTCGACATGTCCTCCAAGATCAGGATGATCTGCTCAGTCTGTCCAACAGTCTGAGGATGATAGGTTGTACTCATTCGCAACTGAGTCCCAAAAGTTCCCTGCAGCGCCTCCCAGAACCGAGATGTGAACTTCGGGTCCTTATTACTGATGATACACCCGGCACCCCGTGAAGCCTCACGATCTCGCGAACACACAGTTTGGCCAACTGCTCTTAAGGGAAACTTGCCCTTTCTGGAAGAAAGTGAGCAGACTAAGACAATCTGTCCACAAAGACCCAAAAAATAATAATCACAGGCAGCCTGAGTCTTCAGTAATCCCACAACGAAGTCCATGGAAATACTTTCCCACTTCCACTGCGGTACAACAAGAGGTTAAAGCTTATCAACGGCTTCTGGTGTTCAATCTTCATCTTCAGGCATCAGAACAGCAGGTCACACCACAACAATGCCCTTCCGTATTCCAAGACACACCGTCCTAGTTTTTCTCAAAAAACTCATTCCCGACTCTCACAGTCTCCATCTCGAGAAGTGCACCCCCATACAAGGAAGTCACATTCAGATATCGAAACTTCACAATGACATCAAAAACGTCATTCGATTCTCTGGGATCATCAATCACTTTCTCAACAGAGGCGACCTGACCCCACATACTCTATTCCACACAATAACTTGAGTGAGTTTGGTCCTATTCCATGACTCTAACATCGACTAGACTTACAATTTTATAAATCATTATTTTCAAAATAATTTTCATGTTCCTTTCACATTACGAAATCATAATCATGTTCATCTCACCCAATGCATGTTAGTTAACATGCTCATTCACATAGTAACGTACCTTAGTTCACGTACACCTGCAAAATTTTAAATTTCAATAACATAATAAATCAGAAGCTCTATGAAATAGTATACCTCAATGTTCATGGCATCTGCAACTCAAAAGTCAATAAACGGTGAAATAACATAGATACATCACCATAATTTATCGTACATATGTCATGCTTTACACTACCCATGGTGTTAACATGCCAACTACTTATGAAGCATATCAATAATCACCATAAAAACCTAGAGTCATGGAGACCACTCAACCCTCATGCATATAACCATACCCCCATGGGACATGGTGGAACCACAACATGGCTAAACCGAGAACACGAAAGCTTACCTTGTAAGCTAGCTATCCAAACCAAGAGTCCACACAACTCAAGGCCCACAAACAGCACAATCACAATCTGCCTATACCATAATTACTCATCAATAATCATAGCTCAGATTACATTAAGTGATTAAGTCTTTCTTACTCATTTTAACTCATTGCATGCTGTTTCTGCAGGAAGTATTCAAATACTTCACGAGTAGTATTCG